CGTCATTTCTCGAGCTTTTCTTGAAAGTAAACGGAGCTCCTACGGGGACAGAATTAGTCAACACGCCGAAATCAGCGAGGTTGACCGAGGCTGTACCAAGAAGCTTGTTCTTGACGCCTTTATCTTTCTTTTTGGCGTCGTATACATGAAGTTCAAGAAGATTCTTGTGGAACTTATTGTCGGAACCAACTTTGGGTTCTAACGTTAAGGTTAGCCTAAAGGACTCGTTGAACATGATCGTGTCTTTGCCCACGACCGCAATGAAAGAGCCTGAGTTGTTTTCGCCGTTTTCCCATTTGAGAAGGACGCATTGTGCAGGGACTTGGCTTGTTGGCCATGGTTTTAGCTCCTTGATTGAGATTAGATACTCAACGAACACTCCATTGTCTCTACGACTCTTTGTTCGAAGACCCAACACCATTTTTTTTTTTTTTGGTAGAAAATGGTGATCAATGATTATGAATGGAGTTTTCGATTTTGGGTTATAATGGAGTTCATGTTTTGGAAGAGTAATAAACAAAACCACCGGCCTCCAACGGACGTGGGTTGCACCATTTTCTTATTTTCTTATTATACAAGCAGGAGCATATATAATGCTCGCATATACTGTACCTAGGGATGTTAAAATGGGCTAAACATTTAGGGCTGGCCCGGGTCCGTTAAAAGAAATAAAGTTCAAAGTCTGCATTTTTTAGCTCAGATTTGTTCTTCGATTTCTCTCGTTAAATCAATTTTTCTTACACCTCCCATTAGGTTTGTTTCGATCTCAAAGTATCCATGGTTTTTATAGTATTTGATTGGATTTTTTTTTTCAAATTTTGTTAATCTCCATGATTAGGAACTCTTAAGTGATGTCTTAGTGAATAAATATTTGGTGTTTTTCATTGCTTCTGATTGTGATCTGTCTTTTATCAATATAAATTTGGATTTAAACTTGTGGGTCGCTGGAAAAATTGGATTCGAACTTGTGGGTCGATTTTTTTTTTTAGTTTTGCTTGGTTTCTTTAGTTGTTCTTGACTTAGGTTTTTGTTTTTTCTAATTCTCTCCCTGTGAAGGCAAATCCTGTAGAAACCAATTGTAACTTGTAGTTTGGTTTGTGTTTATCTTATATGGCTTTGACAGATCAATTTATGTATGGAATATATAGGTGTTTCTCAGACAAACACAGTGAGAATATATATAAGTGTTCCTGAGGAGTAAAAGAGGAAAAGAGTAGAATGAGAATAGTCGGGCTAACGGGAGGCATATCGTCTGGGAAGAGTACAGTCTCCAACCTCTTCAAGGCTAGTGGCATTCCCGTTGTTGACGCTGATGTTGTTGCTCGAGTAAGTAACAAACATCTCTCTCTTTTCTATTTGTGTTATCATTGCGAAAGAGAGAGGTCCTCCTCCTAGATGAAATTTAGCTTAAGAGAAGTTTAGTAAATGTGTTCTTTTGCTATATAGGATGTATTGAAGAAAGGAAGCAGTGGATGGAAAAGAGTAGTTGCAGCTTTCGGGGAGGAGATTCTGCTTCCTAGTAGAGAAGTGGATCGACCAAAAATCGGTCAGATTGTGTTCTCATCTGATTCCAAACGCCAACTTCTAATCCCGAAATTGTTATTGTGTCTTTCTCGCTACAGGCTGATGGCTCCGTACATATCAAGTGGTATCTTTTGGGAAATTCTGAAACAATGGGTGAGTGGTGCTAAAGTGATTGTTGTCGATATCCCTTTGTTGTTCGAGGTAAAGATGGATAAATGGCCAAACCTATTGTGGTTGTGTGGGTTAGTCAAGAAACACAACTTAAGAGACTGATGGAGAGAGATGGATTGAGTGAGGAAGATGCAAGAAATAGAGTGATGGCTCAGATGCTTTTGGATTCGAAAAGAAGCAAAGCTGATGTTGTGATCGATAATAATGGCTCTCTCGACAACCTCCACCAACAGTTCGACAATGTTTTGTTTGAAATTAGAAAACCCTTGACGTGGATCGAGTTTTGGCGTTCAAGGCAAGGAGCCTTCTCGGTCCTTGGTTCGGTGATTTTAGGATTATCTGTTTGCAAACAGCTCAAAATTGGCTCTTAACTGACTTATTTCTGATTTTTTCCATGGTACAAAGTCATCACTTCTTCTGTTACTGTTAAAAAACTTCTTGTTAGAATCTTAAAGCTTTTAATTTATTATTCTCTCGCTCTCTCCAGCATTAACTTACACTATTCACTAGTTTGATGATTTCACTCTCCTATTCAGTACTCAGACATCCATTATCTATGTACAACTTGAGGCTGAGAACCACAAGATCTGAATCACTATCTGATTGAATGATAAACACTGATTATTCTACAATTTTCAACTACCAAGCTACAGTTCTCAATCTTATACCTTAAAATGATTGTATATACTTGTTTTTATTGAAGACACCATAACTAAGAAAAATCTTAAGCACATTTGCTTTGACTCTTGTCTATCAATTTTAAAAGTTACAACAGCTGCAAACATCAATGCTGTACCCATGAGGTTGTGCATTGTAGTTTTCAAACAATTGCCATATGACAAGTAAAACCCGGATACTAGGTTCTACTCTTTCCACTATCGTCGTCAAGTCCCAATCAGTGATTAATTAAGTTAGTCGTTGGTCACCTGGTTAGATTTTCCAGTCAGTTTCAAGATGACTACATTCTAGTGACTCCTGGACTTTCTCCAAAGCTCTCCTTCGGTGTTGAAGCAAAGCATCACTCTGACTCATCTCCTCATCTTCCTTTCTCCGCGGTAACTTTCTTGAAAAGATCTTCCATTTCGATTCAAACGAGGAAGCTGCAGAAATTAAACAAGTAGGAAGTCTGGAAAACTTAGAGAGAAGTTAAAGCTAGCACGAGCGGAGGGTCGTGTTGACTAAGTCTAGACGACAGTCGTGTTTACAAGCAAGGGTTCATATTCCAGGTAAAGGGAGCGGTTCGGACCTCTTTGCCTACTGTGTTGCTCAACCTACTATTAGGAACTGTGAACCCCGGCGAGTACTATTGACTGCCGTGTTCGACCGTCGTATTGACGGACCACTTATGCTAACCTTAAGAGAACAATACAGAATCGCGACTGTGTTTAGAATAGAAAGAAACAAGGTTTATGAAGAAAGTAGGAAGTCTGGAAAACTTAGAGAGAAGTTAGAGATACATTTTAGAGAGAGAAAGCTATTATGAAATTTTATGATACTAGTATTGGCATGTAATAAGTTCAATTTTTAAAGTAAGTGGTTGAAAGTTCGAATCTCAGTTTTTTAATTTTTTAAAAATCTCTTTTATGTTAATGAATCAATTACAGAATTGGCATTTATTCCAGCAATAATTATCAATTTAGGTGCGTTTATGGAACCTTCTGATTTTAAGCATAGATTAGGTACCCGCGCAACTTACTTTAAAACTTTTATTAATTCGAATTTTTGAGTATAAATTTAATTATTTGAATTTTTGTAAAAAATTATTTATTTATGTGCATTATCTTTCCAAATATTAAATAATTTTTTACACTTTTTATTACAATTTCTATCGTTATTTTTTATGATTCACTCCTTGTCTCCCGACATCTACTTTTTTACACTTTATATTGGCTCACATATGATATACTACTGTGAATTGGTTCTCATAGGCCATATCTATCTTATTCTTCGTATCTTTGAATACTCAATTCTTTTTTATAAGTTGGATGATCTTTTTACTAAAGTGGACATCAAAAAATCGAGGAAAATATTTGTCATAAGGAGCATATAAAATTGTCTTATTGACAACAAATCTCATATATAAACTCATTCCAATTCACAAACATCGGATTTTAACATCAAATTTTGTACTTTATCTTAACCGATTGGAAAATACTAAATTCTCTTTTTCACATATATAATTTGATATATATTGTGATTTTAGAGACTATTCTTAATGTTGATTTCCCTAAAATATGTCACTTACGAACTCATAAAAATTATTCTAAATTTTAAATATGTTTTTTTAAAAACAAAATCTTCTTATTTCTAACTAAAAAAAATTCAATCTACCATTACTATTCTAATTTCTAAATAGTATTTTTAAATATTATTGTTACCCAATTTTATTATTCGAGTAGATTGTTTTGTTTTTATTTATGATGTTTAGGACATATTTTTGTTTTATTTCAATCATCTTATTTTTTCAATCTATGTTAATTTTCTAAACACTTATTAATTTTAGTTTTTCTTTTATTATATAGTCATTTTTTATTAAAAAAAGCCTCCATTTTCTAATTAAGAAAACATTAATAATATAGGCAAATATATTAATTTAACCATTTATATTATATTATAATTATAAAAAATAATATGTACTCAATCCTTATTATTTTTAATCGGTATCATAAATTGATACTTTAACATTACTTATTAATTTTAGTTTTTTTCTTTATTATATATTCATTTTTATTTAAAAAGACTCCACTTTTTAATTTAGAAAACATTAATAATATAGACAAATATATTAATTTAAACATTTATATTATATTATAATTATAAAAAATAATATATACTCAATCTTTATTATTTTTAATCGGCATCATGAGTTGATACTCAAATTTTAAATGTGTATTTTCATAAATAAATTACTTTTTATTTTAAGTAAAAACCTTTAAATTTGATATTTTTAACTCTTATATTCTTTATTCTACTAAATAATTGTTGTACCATTAAAATATATGATAAGCTTCTTTTATCTTACCACTAAGGCGCTAACTATTTAAAAATATTAACTCATTATATGTTAACATATAATTATCTAATTTTATATTTCTCAAATCTTAATTCAAAAGTTTTATATTTTGTGTTGTATATTTTTTTTTGTTTATTCATGTTCAAGGTTTTTTCGTAAATTATTGCTTTCATAATTTAAAGTGTGTGAATTCATTTATTTTAATGTTTTTTATTTAAATAAATAAGATATGTAGAACCTACAAAAATAGTAAAATGTGATGACATTGATGCTGATGTGGACACCCTAAATAGAGAGAGAACTCTCTAATTATATATATAGATTTCAAGTTCTGATTTCTTACAAGGGGTACACACTTATTTATAGGAGGTTTTAAGGCGCTGACATAAGCGCTTACCTCAGCGATACATCATCGCTTACATCATTGCTTACATAATCATTATATCAGCGATTACATCATCGCTTACATCATTATTTATTTTACATGATTTTAAACATATCATATTATATTTTATATTTAACATACCGCTTAATGATCCATTTCGAACTCCAGCATATGTTCTTCGCAGCATCCATAATGATCACCTGGACATTCATACGTGTTTTCGATCATTCGTGCATCTTCTCCTGGTTGAACATTTATGTAGAATTTGAACTTCTCTTCGATATCTTCAACATTTACTTCATCATCTGGGGATTGAGCATCTTTGAAGTAATCGGCACAGTAATCTTGAGAAGTCACCTGGGGAGTTGTCTCTTCTTGTTTATCTTCTTCTGGACTGCTTGGTCTTCCTTTGTTGAACTTCATCATGTGATACTGTAAATCTTCATCAAGTTGCATCTGATAGTCGACCGGATAATAAACCCAGTTGGGTATGAACGGAATGGGGAACATTTGTCTTGCATTGTTGAGGTGAAACGCATGAGTTTGAAAGTTCTCATATGCTTCATTGTCTTGAAGGTTGAAATCTGGAAGAACTCCTCTTGAAAAATCACCGTGATGAATGAGAGTTGGAAGAGCGAGGATTTTGCTTGTTTTGCGGTTGACCTTAACGGGACGATGAAAGAAGTAGATTGAATGCGGATTGAAGAACGGGTTGAGTCCACCTTTTTTCAGCTTCTTGAATGTTAGATTTGTCGCATTTGCGGATCTTCGTAGTTTTCCACTCCAGACAGTCAATGGTGAAAACCACCTTAGGAATGTTGAGAAGCTGTCTCTTTTGTCTTGAACAGTGTTGACGTAATGGTACAGCCATTGGATGTCGAAAGTAATTCCTACCGTGTAGACGGCACAGAGATACCAGAGGAAACAGAGAACTTCTTCTGGCATGTTTGAATTTTCGATCCTGTAGAGATGTGCAAACGGATAGTCAGGATGAATTCCCATTGGAGCAATGTGATGACAGTTTACTCCATAGTTCGTCAGGATGGTAGATTGATATGAAAAGATCTTTGTGCGTAGTAGCTCATGAAGCTTGTTTCTGCTGATGAGTTGATGAACATCTTCGGGTACGTCTGCTTCAAAGTCATAGTAGCTCTTCTTGGTTTCGGAGGAACTGGCCATCATGTGTATTTCGTCGGGCGTTTCCTGTTTTACTGGTTTTCGACTTAGCATGTCTGCCAAAGTGTTCTTGGTGCCCTTTAAATAGACTGACTCGAAATCGTACTTTGAGAACCACTCACTCCATCTTAGTAGCTGCTGATGAGGGACCATCTTCTGCTTGAACTGTAACATCTTGGAAAACGAAGACATATCCATTTCTATGCGAAACTTGTGTCCTATTAGATGAAATTCAAACCTCTCGATAGCCTTTTTGACTGCTAAAATCTCCTTGAACGTTGAGTGATAATGTTGCTCTGAATCTTTGAAACAACCACTCTTGTATCCACAGATTTGTCTTTTTCCATCCATCTCTTCAAACAGTATTGCTCCCCAATACTTATCGCTAGCGTCTGTCTGTAGAATACGCATGCCTGAGGAGGGAATCTTTAAAGGAGGTAGCTTTTGCACTTCTGCTTTTAGACTTTTGATAGCTTCAGTTTGTCGTGATGCCCACAAAGGAGGATTCTTCGACAACATCTTTTGTAGAGGTCTCGTCATTCTGGAAAGGTGTGGAATAAAGTCTCCCACATAATTGATTACTCCAAGAAATTGTTGAATTTGTCGCCTTGTAAGATTTTCATCAGGAAAATCTAGGAGTTCTGTAGCTAAATGGGCCTGTGGTGTGAAACTTCCTTCTTTGATATGCATGCCAAGAAAATCAATGTTGGGCTGGGCTATTATCATCTTTCTGGCTGATAGCATGATTCCGTTTTTCTTGACGATGTCTTGAAACTGTTGTAGCGCCTTAATGTGCTCTTCTTCATTCTTCGAGAAGATGAGTATGTCATCAATATATATAAGAGCTGTGTGTAACAACGGCTCGAATATACGTAACATTGCTTGCTGAAATAGCGATGGTGCCGTCTTGAGACCAAACGGTAAGACATTCCATTGAAGGTGTCTGTTTGGAAGGCAAAACGCAGTTTTGTATCTTTCTTCAGGATGAACACCGAGTTGCCAAAATCCTGACTTCAGATCAAACTTCGAAAATATTTTTGCACCTTGGAGATGTTGGAGAAGTGCTCTTTTATTTGGCAGTGGAAACTTGACGTCTTGCAGATACTGGTTCAACGGCTTGTAATCGATAACTAATCTGAGTTTTCCTCTTGCTTGTTCTGCACGATTATTAACGTAGAACGCTTTGCATGCCCATGGAGAGTTTGTTCTTGAGATGATACCTTGATCCATCAATTGATTGCATTCCTCATTTGCCTTCTGCAACAATGTTGGAGGCATTCCTGCATGGCTTGCTTTTGTTGGTGTTGTGTGTACATCTTCTTTGAATGGTAGGGATACGAAGAAGCTTGAGTTTAACCATAACGGATGATTACACTTTTGAAGGAACTCCGTGTGTGAATCTGCACATGATGCCATCTTTAGTTCTTCTTCAATTTTGTTGAATTCTGCAGATACTGAGTCTTCGATTGAGAATAGGCGATGCATCGTGGTAAAAGCTTTGTAGAGGTTTTTCCATCTCACGCCTCTTGGTTCTAGAGAAATATCGAACTTTTTCTTCAGTACCGAGTAAGTATCCCACCCAAGGATTAAGTCTTTACCAGGTGCAAATGAACCTAGTACTTCCTTAGTAACTTGACATCCTGGGAAAAGCTCTATCGTGATTGGTTTTGATTTTAGCTTAACCGTTAGGGATCCAGCGTTTGCTACTCTGAAATCTTGATGATGAGGCATCCACATGGCTCGTGAGAGAATCTTTGGATTTATGATTGTTGTATGAGCTCCTGTGTCGAAGAATGCGATTGCGTGTACTGGCTTTTCTCTTCTGGAAGGATCAAAGATGGTTACTGGTAGATGCGGTGTCTGAAGTTCATCTTCTTGAGGCATCTGGGTGATCTTGAAACAACAATCGTCGTCCTTTTCATCTTCGGATGAAGATTCCGAAGATTCGTCATAATCCGAATAACTGCATATAGCATCATTCTCGTCACTATCGTAAGATAGTATTGACTCAAGATCATGGTTATCAATATCAAGATCTGGAGCTATCTTGGATATCGAATGAATGAGATACTGCTTCTTCTTTTTAGACTTGTTTGGACAGTCTTTTGCAAAATGCCCCGTCTTTCTGCATAGAAAACATCTTGAAGTTTTCTCGAAGCTTTTCTTCTTTCTAAAGAATCGCTTGCGTTTAATCTTGTTGAAATATTTCGACTTCAAGAATGATTTCTTGGATCTTCTTCGGTCTTTTCGTCGATCTTCACATGAACATTTTTTCTTTTTCGAACATTTGATGTTTAGATCCGGGCGAGCACATATCTTCGAGAGATGCTTTGACTTGTCCATGAATTCTGACCAAAATTCTTTTTGCTTGCAAAGCTTGTCAAGAGTTCTGAACACCTGCTGCTGTATTTGTCCAATCGAGATTTCTTCGATTGTCTGCCCTTGATCTCTGATATACAGCTTTGTTTGTTGACTTAGGTAATCGTCTATGGATGAGAGATAAACTTGCTTCAGGCTTGGGTTGTTTAGACCATTGAGAGCATAATACCTTCGAGTTTGTCGCTCAAAATGCTTTGCTAAATCTCTCTTCTTCAATGAACAACACTTCGCTGTGTAAAACTCTTCTTGCAGTTGTTCTTTTAAATGATTTGGGGTGCCAACGAATTCTCTATGTATTTCTCCAAGAAGTAGAGGTATCGTTGTCTAATACACCTGCTGCTGCCGATATTCTCCAAGCGAATTCCACCATTCTTTTAATGCGCCTGACAGTCTTGATGTGAATTGTTGTATCACCACTTCTGTTGGGGAAGTGATTGCTTCGGAGGTCATCCACGCATGAAACTCGTCGAGACGACTATTCCATTTTTCAAAAGGAATGTCATCGAATGTGAACACCATTATCTTTGATGCAAATTGTTTCTTTGGTACGCCTTGAGCTTCATAGCCCATCTCTTCGTCACTTGAAATTTCTTCATAGATTGGCTCTTCTTTTGGAATATGTGACTCATCTCCGATTGCAAATTGATTTGGAAGAGATTCATCTGTTTCTGATTCATCGACGGAAGAGGTTGAATCCGAAAGAGCTGAGATGTGAGTCATTGTAACAATTGGTAGCGACTGCTGCTCTTTTGATTGAACTTGCAATTCTTGTCTTTCTTCGTCAGATGTTTTCACGAGATTGTCTAGTAAACTAGACATCGAAAACTCGATCATCGCAATTTCTTCTTTTTTTGTAACATCCTCTTTCTTTTCATTTTGAGCAGACTCATGGCTTGATGAAGATGTGAAGCTTGGCTTCTTGGATGGATTGATGTGAAACTCAGAATCTTTTTGACGCCTTGGTTTAGTTCTTGCCACCTTTGTTTTGAAATTGCTGATTGAAGTTGTACCAAACCGAGATGTAAAGGCTTCATCCGAGGATAAGAATCCAGGTACAGGCTGTTTTGGTTTTGGATCTTGATATCCAGACAGAAATCCTGGAGAATATGATTCTTGATATGTGGGTAATCCAGATGACATATAGTCAAAAGGATTATACATATTTACTCGCCTCTGATTCTGGACTAGACTTTCTAGGCTTCTTTGAAGATCTTTGAGTTGATATTTAAGATTGGTTTGTTCAGCTTCTTTACTTCTGAACTGAGATGTATTAACCTTCATTTGTTTTGCCATAGCCATCATTTCTTGGTGCAAGTTGCTGAGTTTCTGTTGAATCTCTGATATGGCTCCTTGCAGACTGTTGAATCTTCTATTGTTGTTCTCTGACATTTGATCAACCTTGTGGCTAATGGATGTCAGTAATTGATTCTGAACAAAGGCATTTTTTGTTTGCCAGTTGAGAACCTTTTCTGCTTGGCTTAATTCGTCTGGTCCAGCGGAGTTGATATTGTTCGGAACAATTTTTGGTGTATGCACAATATTGTCCTTGACAAAGTCTTTTGGTGGAGGAAAATCTATTCTTATCATCATGAGTTGCTGGTTTGCATCATCCTTCTTTGTTGAATACTCGACTATAAAATCGTAGTTGTCTTCACCAAGTGGACCTACTGTAGGATCTCCTTCAAGATAGCGTTTATAAAGTGGATCCTTCTTTTTTCTTCGTCTTCTTCGCTTTTCATCATCCGATTCATAAGAGTCTTCCAAACATGCGGTGCATGAGCAGACATCGAAGTAGCAATGTCCGTTCTCATCTTTGAATGGATATACGACAGTTCCATTCTGACCAAAAGCGATTGGTTGAAGATCTTTCTTTTTGACGGGATCATAGAACTCTTGCTCCTCAATTTGGATAGTGAATTGAGTAAAGAGTTTCTTTTGAAAAGATGAACTTGGCTTTTCAAACTTTATCTCCGTGGTTCCATCGCTTCTAGAGTGAAAGCTTACGTCAGATGACTGAATCGGTGCTTGAGATGCTTGATGTATCTTCTCATAGCTTGTTACCCATGACTCTGGTAGTTTTCGTAGCAGTTCTTCTCGAGATATCTGTCTCGGGATTTGAATAGAGTTGGGTGCTTGCGATGCCGATGTGACTTCAAGGTATAAAGCCTCGTCTGATGCTGGTAGTGCAAGATCGAGAGCATGATCTTGGATTCTGTATACAATCTGATGATGTAGAGTTGCTGCCACACTTTCTTCTTGCATAGGTGCTCCGATTAATTGTAATTGAACCTTAAGCGCCTTCAGGAGATTTGGATCTTGTAGTGAGACATTGAAATTGGGAAACAGTGTTATAAATACTGTTCCGGCGTTCAGCGTTGTTTGTACTGTTCCGATGCAAGCTTGTTGATAGGATTTGAGCCTCGAGTCAAGCAAAGCAATCCGTGCTACAACCGGTAAACCTTTTCGTGCGTGTAAGGTTAAACCGATTCGTACTACACCAAAGTGTAGATGAGTGTAGCCCTGCTGCTGCCATAGCCTTGGAAGATGCTCCAGAATATTTAGCGAGATGAATTGTTCTTCTTCGGTGGCTGGAACTTGACATGATGAAAACTTGCTGGATTGTACATACTCCAATACTCGTCGGCTGGAAGATGGCCTGATCAGATCACGAACACCTTTTACTGAAAAAGCACTAGGCTTTTTAGCAAAGTATTCATAAGGATTAACCAACGGGAGAGTTGTTTCTGGCAATTGATCTCCGGGAACGTATTCGATTTCATACAAGGAATTTATTTTAGAAAGGAAATTATTTTTTTGGATTTTTGGTAAAGTAGATATAGCAAATTGAGAATCTATAGAAGGATTTAGCTGAGGGTGTTTAGGAGGCTTAGAAAGAGACATGATTGAGAGTTTGTTTTCCAGAACATTCAAAACGATCATTCATAAACAATGATTCTCTCTACCTTCACACAAGTCTTGGCTCTGATACCATAATCTTAAAGCTAGCACGAGCGGAGGGTCGTGTTGACTAAGTCTAGACGACAGTCGTGTTTACAATATTGTGCATACACCAAAAATTGTTCCGAACAATATCAACTCCGCTGGACCAGACGAATTAAGCCAAGCAGAAAAGGTTCTCAACTGGCAA